ACAAGTACTCCTGTTCTTTTTGAGGATACAGACTAACACGGCTGCTACCCTGAAACTTAACCAATTATGTATCCACTTAATGGTAGTTCCACCAAGTCTGCATTTCTCCAGCTTACCTATGAGAATGTCATGTGGGACTGTGTCAAAAGGCTTGCTGAAGTCCAGGTAAATTGTATCCACCACATTCCTCTATCCACCAAACCAGTTACCTTGTCAAAGAAGGAAATCAGGCTGGTTTGGCATGATTTGTTGTTAGTAAATCCATGCTGGCTGCTAGTGATCACCCCTTCAGCCTCCAGGTATTTGCAAATTGAATGTTTTATACAATTGTTCAAGTGGCTACCCAGGTATTGAGGTCAGGCTGACTGGTCTATAGTTCCCCAGCTCCTTCTTTTCCTCCTTTTTAAAGATGGGCACTATGCTAGCCCTTCCCCAGTCTTCCAGAACCTCTCCTGTCATTCATGAATTTGCAAATATTATTGCCAGTGGCTTCAAGATTCCTTCAGAATTTAGGATGAATAACAATATGACCCCTGTGTCTGAGCTGGGAGGAGTTATCTCACTCCAGAGGATGGGGAAGCAACTCACATGGGGTTCTGCTTGCCATTGTCAGCCAAGGAGTCTCCCACGTGGATCTGGGCTCCCCTGATTCTTTCCCCACAGCATTCGTCCTCCCTGTTCTTCACGATCACCGCGGAGACAGACTGACTACTGCCCAAGTCCACGGTCCACCACGGCTCTGTGTCGAACTGGGTGTGGCTGCAGGAACCTTGTACCCACTTCCCATCGCGTTTTCCATCCACGGCCTTTTCAGCCACGGCTTTTCCTGTCTCTTTATTCTCGAGCGTGGAGGACTGAGTGGCTGGGCGCCCCAGGGCCAAGTTCTGAGCTGGAATCAGAGGGCGACAAGAGGGGAGGTGGGACGTGCCCATCGCTGGGGGGCTGTAGATGCCCTTTGTCCCACACGGAGCCAGAGCCGCTTCCCAGAAGTGACACACAAACCAGCCACTGCATGAGAGCCAGGTTCATAGTGGGAGCCATGGTCCCCGGGGACAGGAGTGACAGCAGGTCGGTGCTGGGGTCTCAGCCCAGACAGAACCGCTTTCAGCCCCTCTCGTCCAATATCCATCTGGAGCTGCTCCTCAAGGCAGGAATGGAGCAAGATGTTCAGATGGAGCCTCCCCCGTCTGCCCCTGCCAGCTGGAGCCCCCGCCCAGGTCAGTGGTGGGAAGGGAAGAGTGTCCCAGGGTTTCTGCTGTCTCACTAGGTAGAGGATGGGGCAGAAGGGAGTGGGGAGGGATAGTTCAGTGGTTTGAGCATTGGCCTATTAAACCCAGCATTGTGAGTTGAATTCTTGAGGGGGCCACTTAGGGATCTAGGGCAAAATCAAAATTGGTCCTGCTAGTGAAGGCAGGGGGTTGGACTCAATGACCTTTCAGGGTCCCTTCCAGTTCTAGGAGATGGGATATCTTTATTTATTTAATGGGGTAGAACATAAAAGGGAACAAGTTTCATTCACGTTGTGCCAGCTCCTTACCCCCTGGTGGTGGGGTGCAGCCCTGAGCTATGACCTCGACCTCACACAGGGTGAGATACTCCGCCCTGCCCGGGATGACGATGGTGACGTAGCGGCCCTCCAGCCCGTTGCAGCAGATGGTGCTGACCGATCCCGGTCTGGTATCAGTGATGGTCCCACAGCTAAAAAAGAGCAAAAGCCAAGAAGACAAAGGAAGATAGATGTATTCAAATCAACAGGGCCTGATGAAATACACCCTAAAGTTCTTAAGGAGCTAGCTGAAGCTTTCTCAGGACCATTAACGAGTTTGTTGAGAACTCATGGAAGATGGTTGAGATCCCAGGAGAATGGAAAGGGGGAACAAAGAGGACATGGGGAATTCTAGACCAATCAGTCCAACTTTGATACCTGGAAAGATACTGGAACAAATGATCAAACAATCAATTTGTAAGCACCTTAGAGGCTAATAAGGTGATATGCAATAGCCTAGTTAAATTATAACTGGGTTCAAAAAAGAATTAGTTAAGTTCCTGGAGGATAGATCCATCAATGGCTATTAGCCAAGATGGTCAGGGATTCAACCTCATGCTCTGGGTGTCCCCAAACCTGTGACTGCCAAATGCTGGGACTGGCGAACAGGGGATGGATCACTCAATAATTTCCCAGTTCTGTTCATTCCCTTGGAAGCACCTGGCATTGGCCACTGTTGGAAGACAGGATACTGGGCTAGATGGACCATTGGTCTGACCCAGTATGGCCGTTCTTATGTAGCCAACGTGGATTTGTGAAGAACAAATCATGCCAAACCAATCTAATTTCCTTCTTTGACAGGCTAACTGGCCTTATGGATGAGGTGGAAGCGATATATGTGATATATCGTCACTTTAATGAGGCTTGTGACACAGTCCCACATGACACTCTCATGAGCAAACTAGGGAAATATGATCTAGATGAAATTAGCATAAGGTGGATACACAACTGGTTGAGAAAACATACTCAAAGAGTAGTTATCATTAGTTCACTGTCAACCTAGGAGGACGTATCTTGTGGCGTTCCCCACGGGTCCATCCTGGGTCTGGTACTATCAATTTTTTCATTAATGACTTGTAAATCCAGGATTAGACTCACTACCCATGTGAGAAGCCATAGAAACAAATAAACTCAGAACTCAAGTGTAGCGAGGCGGTGGGATACCCCACAGCCCCGCGAAGGGACGAGCCTCCCCTAGCACCAAGGTGGGCGGAGCCAATGGATCCTGAGCCCGCCCCCCAGAGGTCACGGTGCAGGACAGGAAGTAGAAAAGCCCAACTGGAGAGCTCACTTGAACGTCAGCTGCTGGAGAGGCCAGATGCCTGTGGCCTAGCTCCGGGTTGGGGAACGCCGGCAGGCCGCGGCTGACCCGAGGACTGGCCGGGCCATTCGGGCCTGCCTCTCGCCAGCTACCCGGAGGAGCAGCCGAGCCTACCCCTCGCCAGTTACCCGGAGAAACCGATGGTCCTGGAACCCCCCGAGGACACCGCCCTAATCCAGCTACCGTACGAGGGGGAGTCCGGAAGCAGCCCGGGGGCAGCCGACCCTGGTCTGGCCGCAGCACTGCCAGAACCAATGTCAGTGTGTTGCGGTCAGGATCCCCACTGACAGCAGCGAGTCTTCTGCTGCTGCTAGGGCCCCGGGCTGGGACGCAGTGGAGTGGGTGGGCCTGCGTCCCCCCGTCACCCCACTCACAGGTGGCAGACTTCCCCTCGCACCAGATGCTCAGCCCCTGCCTAAGGGCCGGAGCGCCTGACTGTTTGTTTGCTGCCCCACCCGGATCCAGGGCCTGGGAACTGTTGGAGGCAGTGGGATACCCCACAGCCACGCAAAGGGACGAGTCTCGGCCGAGCCCTTTTACATCAAGTCAGCACTAGCTGAAAATTCATCTGTTGAAGGAATGGGAGAATCCATCATCCGTCTAATTAATGACTTGGATGATGGAGTGGAAAGTACACTTATAAAATTTGTGGGTGACGCCAGGCTCAGCACGGTTGAGACCTCTTTGGGGGAAGTGATTAGAATTCAAAACAACTGACAATTTGGAGAATTGGTCTGAAATGAAAAATCAAATGCCCAATTACAAAATGGGGTGTGACTGGTGAGGCAGTAGCACTGCGGAAAAGGATCTTGGGTTACAAGATCACAAATTGAATCTGAGTCAACAGTGTGATGCTGTTGTGAAAAAGGCAAATGCCACTCTGGGATGTTTTAAGACATGGAAGGTAATTGGCCCACTTTACTCGGCATTGCTGAAACCTTAGCTGGAGAACAATGTCCCGTTTTTGACATCACACTTTAAGAAAGATGTGGAAAAATTGGAAAGACTTCAGAGGGGAGCAACATAAATGATGAAAGGTTGAGACAACCCGACCTCTGAGGAAAGGTTGAAAGAACTGGGCGCGTTTAGTCTACAGAAGAGAGAGCTGATGGGGGACATGATAACAGTCTTCAGACAGGTCACAGGTTGTGTCCCAGGGTAGCAGGCCCCTGAGGAGGTCAGGCACCCAAGCCTCCCCGTGACAGGCTTCCCTAAGGAGAAAGCCAACCCAGATCCCCCTGTGAGCAGTTAATTCCCCAGGTGCTGGGCAGCTGTCAATTAGCTAAGGAAATCCTGGGCCTAACAAAGGGTTCTGAGGGCTCAGTCAGGACACACAGATCACAGAGGAAGCCCCTGAGGATTGCAATTCACAGGGGAGCTGTCTGCTGGAGCAGATGACACAGAAATGATGGGCTCAGACAGAATCACTGCATGAGGTTTTCTGGCCTGTGTGACAGATCAGTGGTTCTCAACCTATTTACCATTGTGGGCTGCATATGCAGCTCTCTATGTGTTATGTGGGTCGCATCCACCCAATATAGGTGCTACCTGTACATCTACGAAAGAAATAAGGTTTAGTATTTGTTATATGACAGCAATAGGATTCAAATCGTATAGCACCTTTCATTTCAAGACTGGCAAATGTCTACCAAGAGCGTTTTAAATTAGCAAAATAAGTCAAAACATTAACTGTTAAAATGAATTAATTTACTGTAAGGGTGGCATGGTGTATTGCGACCCTCCCTTCCGCACTGCTGCTGGCGGCACGGCTGGGCGCACAGAGAGTGTGGCTGTGGAGTCTGTCTGCCCCATGCACACAGCCCCCCAGTCAGGGACTGTCCCCCACATGTGCCTGCCCTGCACAGACATGATGTCCAGTCCAGGGCAGAACACCTCCCCCCCAAAGGACTGCCTCCACCAGCATCCAGTGCCCCACCTAGGGACTGCCCCCAGCACCTCCCAGCACTCAACCCCTCATCAAGTGTCCCAGTACCTAGCCCCACATCCAGGGACTGCATCCAGTCACCAGTCCTCCCCACCTAGAGTCTGTGCCCCATGCACCGGCTGCACCCCTTTCCCCACAACCCTAGCTCTCTGCATGTCTCCCCTCACCCAAGACCCTTGTACTCCCTCCCCATGTGGCCCTAGTGCCCTGTGAATTCAAGTCTGTGACGTACACTCATAACATACACACGTTATGAGTGTAAAATAATATTTCATTGGAAGGTGACAGGGCCAGAAAGAGTTAATTACCTCACAGACTGACCTGAACCATGGCCCAACTTTAGTGACTGGTTAGGAAGATCTGTAAATGAATAGAGCTTTGAAATGCAAGTCTGCATTGTTAGAGGTAAAAGGGGAGGTGTTTGCTTAGGGCCTGTGATGTAAGCAAACAAGTCTTGTCTATTAGTATAGCTTTGATTCAAAGATCAAAAAAGGAGTATCAGTATTTAGGAAAAAGAAGAACAGGAGTACTCTGTTCTTCTTTTTGCGGATACAGACTAACACGGCTGTTACTCTGAAACCAGTATTTAGGAAGACACTTGAGGGAAATAGTATTATTGTCTCTCTGTCTCTTTGAAGGTTGTGGTACCTGGATCTGAACTGTTTAATGGATCAATTACCCTGTGCTAATTGCCATAATGTTTAGAAGAAGGAAAGTTGAGCCTATTGTTTTCTCAGGCCAAGCAGCTGCTGGAAATGTATAAGAACCTTGGGACACGATCCTGCTTCATCTCAGATCTGCTTTGGGTTTCAAGAGTGGGAAACCTTAACCCACAAGGATTGAGATCCCCAGTCACTGACTGGAGCCACCCTGAATATGGACATTGGACTATAACCTCTGGACTATTTCTAAAAGGACTTTTGGCAACTGCAAGCTCATCGCTGCTATGTATCTGAACCTCAAGAATTGAATTCAAGTCTGTCTGTATATTGATCTTTTAACCAACTCTCTCTCTTTTCTTTTCTTTTTTAATAAATTTTAGTTTAGTTAATAAGAATTGGCTCTAAGCGTGTATTTTGGGTAAGATCTAAGTTATAATTGGACCTGGGTGTGTGGCTGATCCTTTGGGGTTGGAAGAACCTTTTCTTTTACATGATGAGATAAGATTTTCAGTAATCATCATCATATCTCACAGGTGTGTCTGGACGGAGGCCTGAGGCTGGGCACTTTAAGGGAACTGCGTTGGTTGGACTCTAAGGAACCAGTGAGGTAATACAGAAGCTGTTTTGGGCTGGTTGGTAAATCTAAGTATTGGAATATCCACCAGCGTTTGGGGTTTATCTGCCCCGTTTTGTTTGCAGTTCACCGTAATGGAGTCAGGGCCGGCTCCAGGCACCAGCCCACCAAGCATGTGCTTGGGGCGGCGCCTGGAGGGGGGCGGCGCGGCGGGGCGCTCTGGCCCGAGAGCGGGGCCGCGACTGGGCTCGCCGCCCTCCCCTCGGCGCTCTGGCCGGTCAGAGAGAGCGGAGAGCCGCGGCGGGCTCGCCGCCCTGCTCCCGGCACTCTGGCCACCGGGGAGAGCGGAGCCGCGGAGGGCTCGCCGCCCTCCCCGGCGCTCCGGCCAGTCAGGGATTGCGGGCCCGCGGCCAGGCTCGCCGCCCTTCCCCGGGGCCTCCGGCTGGTCAGGGATTGCGGGCCCGCGGCCAGGCTCGCCGCCCTCCCCCGGGGCTCCGGCTGGTCAGGGATTGCGGGCCCGCGGCCAGGCTCGCCGCCCTCCCCCGGGGCTCCGGCTGGTCAGGGATTGCGGGCCCACGGCCAGGCTTGCCGCCCTCCCCCGGGGCTCCGGCTGGTCAGGGATTGCGGGCCCATGGCTGGGCTCGGCGCCCTCCCCTGCCGTGCTGAATGGAGTGACCCCAGCTGGCTCCCACGGGCAGCACCGTCACAGCCCCCCTCCCTGTGCCTGCTGGTCTCCTCCCTCAGCTGCACGTAGCTCAGCCGTGCAGCCCGCCCTTCCCTCCTGCAGTTACAGTCCTACTGCCAGGGAGCCCACTCCAGCTGGGACCACTGGACCCGCAACCCTGTGCTTGGGAGGGGTGCTAAGCATCCTGGCCTCCTGCCAATGCTGCTGGGGGTGGGGGGAGCTGCTGCTTAGCCTGATCCTCACTGCCCCATTTCTGCATCCCCCTGCTGGCTCTGCACCCAGGGCACGGGCCCCTCCTGCCCCGCCCTGCTGCTGTCACATGGGCCGCAGCTCTGAGCTGACTGGGTCACAAGCCGCCCACAGGTTGAGAACCACTGAACTAGGTGATGGGAAAGGTCGTGCCTGGACTCAGAAGTCTATGGCCCTTGGGAAAATCAGATCCTCTTGCCTTGAATGTGATGATTCTATGGGAGGAGCAGCTGTAAGGACACAGGAAGAACACACAGGGGTCTGGAGGGATCGGCTCTACCCGGGATTGCCCTGCGGGGGTCGCTGTGCTCAGTGACAGGCAGCTCCATTCAACCAGGAGCTGAGAGGACCAGCAGCACCGCGCTCCCAGCCCCAGGCAGCTCCGAGGGGAAGAGACCTCGCCCCGGCCCCGGCTGGCAACGATACCCCTGTGTCTGAGCTGGGATGAGTAGTTTCACTCCATAGGATGGGGAAGCAACTCACATGGGGTTCTGCTTGCCCTGGTCGATCAGTGAGTCTCCCACGCGGATCTGGGCTCCCCTGATTCTCTCCCCACAGCATTCGTCTTCCCTGTTCTTCAC